TCTTCCTTTTTTGTCATCAAATTTATGTTGCATAATTCCGAAATTTTTTATTCTATTCTTGATATGATTAAATTAATTGCACTTTTAATTGAGGTGCTATTAAATGATCTTTTAAATGCAATTTTTAATGGAGTAACTGTTTTATCAAAACTTGAAGTAAATGTTTTATTTGAATGATTTTTTATGGTCAATTAAAATACAATTTTTAGTTGAATATTTTAGTCGATTATCAAAACGTAATTTTTGGTTAAATTATTTTTTTTTATCGAAGACTGATGTATTTCTTATTTGAACAATTTTTTTTACTGAAAATTGATGTGTTTCTTATTTGAACAATTTTTTTAATTGAATATTGATGTAATTCTTATTTGAAAAATTTTTTAATAGAAAATTAAAATAAAATTTTTAATTAAACGACTATTTAATTGCAACTTAAAAAGAAATTCTTATTCAAATGATATTTTATTGACAATTAAAATTGAATGTTTAAGTAAATTATTTTAAAAGAATAAATTTTAATCAATAGTTTGAATGAAGCTAATGTTTAGGTTTTAATAGAATTCCTAATTAGTGTTCAATCAAATACAAAACCGAATTAATCATACGAATGATACTAACTGGATATCAATAAAGTGTTTCATGGTTAATTTGAAAGCTGTATCTATTGAAACTAGCGACGTTTCATGATCATGTTCGAAAACATATTCGAAAGAGAAATCAATTCCAATCACCCGGGTGATTTCAATTACCATAATCCGATTTCTAATCGGACGCCCCGTACTTATTCTAAATTCAATGCAAAGCAGGACGAAATGTTCTCGTAATTCAAGAAAATCGTTCGTTTATCATTAATCCTTTCGAAAGGGTTTCGAACGTTTGATACGAATTCATTTCGTGGCACGAAAACACTTCGTCTAGTCTTTTCTTCATTTGTCTACAATTATTTAGTCTATTTACTCGTATTTACATCCGCCAGCTGACGAGTTGAACGTTACTATACTCAGGCCGATATTCGTATAGGGTTGATGTGCGCCACCGTTCTCCATTTTGAAAGGATATCGAAACGCAGGGAACCAGCTCTTAAAAAATTGTAATACAATTACCTTTCACATCCAAAACTTAGAGGAACAATTTTCTAGTTTATAATTGAACTTGTATAATTTTTTTTTAATATAAGTCATTCTCCTTTTTGTATATAATGTAATTGTAAGTATAATTCATTTATATTCCACTTTGGAGCTTATGTATTCTTGTCAGTGAAATTAAACGAATGATAGTTTTAATGATTCTATTTAATCACAAGTATATACTGTTTATACTGTATGTGAATATGTACCATATAATTTGAAATAAATATTTTTTAACCAAATTTATTATACACATGATATGATGAAGTAGACAGTAGAGAAGTCTTAAAAGAATTCAGCAAGATTCTCAAATAAAAAGTTTTAAGGTTATGTGATAATAGTAAAAATATCTTATAAAGACAAGAAGGTATCTTCAACGGTTCAATTAAATTCTAAAGATAAAAATGAATTTTGAACGTATAATCCTTGAAATAGCAATAATCTTTGAAATCGTAGTTGGAGGAAAATGGAGGTACAGCTTCGTGTTTAGGAAATGTGGGTCGGGCCGATGACAAAATTAAGTAAGTCCATGGGAATGCTACCCTTCTTTAATCCATCATGGGCTTTAACCCCTTCGCGTGCCGGGATTCTCGAACCTGTTGCTTTAAACAAGCTGTACGCTGAATAATGGATATTCCTAAGTAGTTCGAAGTCCGCTTTAAACCGACACACTGCGAACGTGTTTGCGCGTTCACGGATAAATTCCAAAGCTCGTTAATTAACGCGGGAATAAATTAATCGCCGTGACAAGCTAATGAACGGTGTCATCGGTTCGATCTACGATTATCGTTGCTTCCATAGCGATAAATATGAAAACTGATAGCCTCATAAGGCGAATATGTTCGATTAACTGTATAAATAATTTTATCGATAAGTACATCTCAATGGGCTTAATAAATAATTACTAAATAAGTACGTCTCAACGATAAATAATTGTTAAGTACAAGCTCGATACATTTCATTTTTAAAGGATTAACTCGGTGAATTTAGTAATAAACCGATAACTTAAAGACTGATAAGAAATTTAATTTGATAATTTAATAAGCGTGGATAAACTCGATAAATAATTTGGTAAATAAAATAAAAATTGGTAGTTTTTAATTAACACTAAATTTAATCAAAATTTTTATTCAATTTGATTAATTTTAGAAATGTTTCATCGATCAAATTCGATTAACCTAATTTAATAAATGAATTCGATTAATACAAATAATCAAATTAATTTAATTTTAGCAACCTAGTAGATATTCAGTCGATCTGAATTTTTGAAAGAATATTCAATCTTTCAAATCTATTCTAATATATGCAATCAATATAGAATTAAAATTTCCAATATTTTTCAAACCAATTATAATTCCCTAAATTTTTAACGAATAATGAACATTCAAGGAATACAATTTTAATAAAGTCAGTAAATTTAAACTAAATGTCTTGAATTTTTAACTTGTCTCGGTTTTATGATGTGGACCAATTAAATTTCTATACACTAAATAACAAATGAACTAAAATTCATTTAATTTAGCTACCGTTAAATATTAAATTATTAACGAATCTTCTGTAAATTTAGCAAATAAAATTCAATTCCAGATCAATAGTTTCTACGATTTGAAATAAATTCCAGTAGAACCGCGGTTGAACGATGGTTTACAGGACAGAATTAAAACGAAGCGTTTTTCTTAAAATATCGGTTGTAATAATCGGCGTTCGAGAGCGGAATCATTTACAAAATCCTGATTGGATTTAACAAACGTTTCACAACACGTATCGATGCAAAGGTTTATGACGATATCGGGCATGTTTTTTCAGTTATTTTGCTTTGCATCGGAACATCGAAATTCCCTTTGAAAATACGCTTTTTCACGAGCCATTTAATACCCTCTGGTATTACAATTAATTCTCGTTTACGGGATTCGGGTCATTAATACCCTTGATGGATTAAAATCAATAGGAAAATCATCAGATATTTTGCGCTATTAATACACGGCAAACGAATCGTTTCCGAGATATTTTATTTTCCTTTTACCGTGTTCCGTTTCAAAAGGGAGTACATACATAGATATTTTAAATCATCGAAATTGACATTCGATGCGTACAAAAAAGTAACGATTGAAGTTCATGCGAAAATTGGTAAGCGATGTATCGCATTCATGATAAACCGGGAAAATTAGCCGTAAAAGCGTTTCAATGTTTTTCACTGATCAATAAAATTCATTCCTGTCTGTCGTGAAAGTAATCAGATGTTTTCGTCAATGTTTTCTTCTGACAAATATTTTATACTGTTGATCATTTTCTGATAGTCGATCAATTGACGTTTCATATTTATTTCAATCGATCGCGGATCCCTGGTTATGGAAGTATCGAACCTGTTTGAGCGCGAAACGCAATTTGATGCGGGAAAAATTATGTACAACAGATTTGGTTTATTTTTTTTAGAAAATATGATTATTTTCAGATTTGTGAATTTTTTTATTTTCAAATATTCAAATTACTGTAATTAGAAATTTCTAAATTTTTAGGTTTTCAAATTTCTCTATTTCTACAATTAGAAATTTCCAAATTTTTAGATTTTCAAATTTCTTTGCTTTCAAGTTTCCAAGTATCCAAATTACTATAATTAGAAATTTCTAAATTTTCAGATTTCCAAATTTCTTTACTTTCGCCCCCGAAATTTTCAAATTCTTGGATTCCCAAATTTCCCAAAATTTCCGAATACCTGAATTCCCCAACTTCCCACACTTGCAAACTTCAAACTCCCAAATCACAAAATTTCCCAAAACGTCCAATTACTTCCTACATTTCTAAATTTTTAAATTTCATAATAAAAAAATTTCAAAATTTCCGTAGATGCACGCCACTTCCCTGCACCTTAGTGTCCTTAAAAACACCCGCGAAACTCTGCCCATCACTACCACAATTTAACCCATCACTACCACAATTGTACCCATCACTAGCACAATTTTACTGACTACTACAACAACACCATAAGTGAAACATAAACCACCATACACATAAAAAACCCCAGTCCATACCACCCCTAAAAAATAAAACAAATTAAATTAAAATCAAACAACAATTAATTATTCGTACAAAAGCTAGTAAAGAACCCCTGAAAAAAGAAAATAAGCTTTCACAGACTTTTAAACAATTGTCTAGAGTAGGTCAGAGAAAGAGTAACATTAATTACGTCGTAGAAGGGATGGCAGAGTCGCATTATGTCGAAATTAATCTTTATAGAAGCTTCCTATTTTTCTGCCCCGGCGTTGTTTCCCACGCGAGAGCCGTCGCAGCTAAATAACGCGATAAAGAGCGCAACAAAAGTGGCGTGCAACACAGAAAGCGAGAGAACAGAGTGTTGCAAGCTCCGGTTGAGCTTGATTTTACACGAGTATCCTCCGAGAACTCTGTCGAGCCGAGACAAAAGGGGAAAACGCTTTCCCGCGTGTAATTGGCACTCTCGTGAAAGCTACAAGTTCGTTTTCACAGGCGTCACCTCGTTTTAGAACCAGTCTCTTATTTATTCCAACAAAGACGCGATTCAGGTATGTGCGCAACGTGCCTCATATTATGGGAAAATATTCCTCAAGAATTTGTTTAGAATACTCTTCAATTTTGTCCATTTTTGGTGAATTTCTATCTTGAATACATTCTGTGTGCACTGTGTTTATTGTTAATTAAATTTGTTATTTGCAATTAATTAAATTAGTAGAATTCATCGTTGTTAATTAAAATTGTCTTCTCTTGACTAATTAATTATATTAATTATATTAATTTATTATAATTCTTGCAATTATATTAATTAATTATATTAAACATTTTGTACATCAGTTATTATAATTAATTGTAATAATTTATTGCATCAAACATTTTGTACATTAATGAATAAAATTAATTATAATAATCTATTGTATTAAACACTTTGCATATCAATGAATATAATTAACCATAATAATTAATTGTATTAAACATTTCAATCGATGCAAATAATAATAATTTCTTGTGTCAAACGACATGTTCGAGAGCAGGAACAGAAGCAGATAAAAAGGATCTTAATCTGAATTCTCCGATTCGAAGACGTTTGCAAACAATAATATTCAGCTTCTTAATATTCAGCCATTCTTGACTGTTCGTGCACTTTCAACCTCCAATTTTTTTTTCAGTCCTCTCCTTTTTATTCGAAGATTTCTTCATGCAAGAGCATTCTCTGTACCGAATCTGACGTTTTAATCTCAAGTACCCAGATGGGATCCGCGATTTCGTATATAAGAAACGGAACGACGGCCGTGAAAGGGAAGGGAAAAACAGGACGAAAGAGGGTGGTAGGAAGCCTTCGCAGACGGAATAAAAAGAGGAACACCGTGAAAGTATTGTCCGAGGAGCAAGAAGAAAAAAGAAAGGTGAAATCGATGCTGGAAATTTACGCTTGCATCGATGGTTTTGAGGTTTTTAATTAGTCGGAAAAATGATTGATATTTTTTACCCTTCTTTCTCCTCTGACTCTCTCTCTTCGTTTTTCAAATTTTACAACGAAAATTGCTATTCTTGAAATATCTATCGATTCAGAACTCTCAGAAATTTTCGAATTCTCTCAAAAATTCTCAGAATCTCGAACAGAATCGAAATGGTGTTAAAATAGGTTTGCGTTCGAACAGGTTCGATTTTCGTCAAAATCGAAGACCGTTGGCGCTGTTTCTGCGGCGAAATTACGGCGTTATACAATATTTTACACTGAAAGCGATAGTCGTTGCACTTTGTGATTTGCCCACCTTCTCTGATCCGCCATATTTACTCGTGCGTAACTCGTTACACGGTAGAAATTCATTTTCTATTGCACGATTTTCTCACCTCGTTCGTTTTCTTGTACACTGCGCTACACTGACTTGGCACGCGTAATTATTATTTATCTTATTTTATTATTTATTCTCCATCCGCACCCTCGTTTTAATACCACACTAACTACTCAGTCAATCTTTCTTAGTGTTTGTGTACGTGTACGTGTGTTCTCGTCGTGTCTGATCCTCTCGGCCATCTTCTTCCTTATAAATCGAGTCAATAATTACAGGTGATCAACGTAGAAGGCGTCCATTTTCCTGGTCTGCTTATCGTATGATCGATGTCACCAGCAGGACGATCATTATAAGCACCCCTGTGGTCGTGATGCTCGATGCTGAGTCTGTAAATCAATAGAAATTTTAACCTTAGTATATCTTTTATTTGAAAATTTTGCATAGGATTTTATTTAGAGAAAATTTCCATATTCATATACATATCCGTATGCATAGCCATATGTACATTCATATGCATACACATACACATATGCATATACATATGAATGTCTATATGGATACGCATATACATACATATGCATATACATATGAATGTCCATATGCATACACATACACATATACATATGAATGCCCATATCCATACATATACACATATACATATACAATATATACATATACACATGAATATCCATATGTATACACATACACATATACGTATACATATGAATGTCCATATATACATATATATATACATATCCATGTACATATCCTTATCGATGTCCATTTCCATATTCATATCCATATCCATATCCATATATGTACACATATACATACACATTCTACGTACAAGTTAAAAAGGTATACATGTACATAGTATATTAGTCCCACAGCACATGTTCCGTTACATCTATCATCCCCAACTTCAAGTACATAATTTGGCGATATGTAACAGCGTGTCAAAAAAGTTTCATAACCAATAAATTCCTCCAAAAATCTCCACCCACATACCCAAAACAGTCGCAGAGTACCAATCATAATAAAAGTACAAACATCCGAAGAACGTAGAATCGCTTGAGAATGCGAAGCGGTACGTTTAACCGCGAGTCAAAATGGCGGAAAGTCATGAAAGTAGGATATAATTCCCGTCCGTGAAGATCGCGCGAGTTGGCCCGAAAGGGTTGACGCGGAATCAAGAAGTTCCCGAGAAAATTCAGCCGTTGTTCCGTGCGGGAAGACGAGCCCCGAAGAATCCTTCTGTCGAGGGAAGCCAACGGAAGGATTGGCACAAGAAGCAAAAGGAGAAAAAAAGAAAGAAAAGGGCAGACGAAAGAGGAGGCAGAGGACGGGAAGAGAGTCAGTTATTCTTACGGTTGGACTGGCCCATACTTTTCAGTTATTACTCGGTTCGCGAGAGACGTATTCCGGCTGTTCCTCGCTCATCCCTAATTACAAATCAGAAACAACCCGGTGGGCCCTCGTTCCAATCATTTCCCTCTTCCTTCTCGTTTGTTTCGTCGTGGTCCTTGCGACCCGCCATGTTTGTCTCTCTTTTTCTCTAGCCTCTTTTTCTTGCCGAATTCCCACCGGGACGGTTCCTCGTTTCGTCAATTTTTACACCGGGTTTCCACCTCCACGCTCTGTTTTTCCACGGCGACTTTTTGCCAGACGGTTTTGCGGTTACTATCGCCAACTGTTTTTTCCCCGGTCTTCGACGATCGAGCCGCGCCACGGGACCGAAATTTTTTAGGGTAATTTGCACGGTTCCGCTATTCGATTCGACGACGTTGCGATTTTTCGAAGTTGCGCCAATTTTATTGGGGCATTTTTAAGAGTGATGTTTGGGAGAGGGTTAATTGTCGGTGTCGGATTTTTGGAGACGTACACTTGATAGCTTTGTAGGAATTTGATAGCTTTGTTTTATGGGGAAATGGAGATTTATGGGAGCAAGAGTAGGAGACGCCAGATTAGGGTATCGAGTACGGCGGCCTAAGGAAAATGGCAATATAAGAAGTCTTAGTATCCCTGTAAATTTATAGGGACTCAAAATTTTAAAATTTCGAAAATTACAAATGATATTGCAAAGTAACGAGTACTATAATTATTTCTTAGGAAAATGCCACTATAAGAAATCTTAGTATCCCTCTAAATTTATTCATACCCAAAATTTTGAAATTTAAAAAATTTCAAACAAGAATATTGAAAAGTAAAGAGTAGAATAATCATTTCGTAGGAAAACAGCAATATAAAAAGAGAAAGTTTAAATTTTTACCATTACGATCTTTTTAATAACAGAAAATGGTGTTCTCCCTCTTTTACCACAAGTAAATATTTAATATTTCCTGTGGGTTTCATGTATATATTTATTTCGTATACATCGTGAAATTGATGGTTTATTCAATTTTACCATCGAAGTTGGAGACTCTATTTATCTTAATTCGACCAATTGTATTTCATGATAATAAAATAACAAAGAACAATGTTTTTAATAGGTTCTAACGAAAAAGGCTGGAAATCGAAGAGGTGATGTTGATTTTGTCCATTCCGTTTCAATACAACGTATTCACTTTACATTCTCGTTTTACACACTTTTTTTCATGTTTTTTTTTATGCCGTTAACCATTTTATTGGAAGCTCCGGTTTCGAGTTCCGATGGATAATTCATGAATTGCGTTTGGTTTTCCGACCGTTTAAATTTGTCGATTTTTGTAAAGGAAAGAACAATTAAACAATGATTTATAACGCGTCGAACTATAAACGATTCTTGCTTGAACTACATGCGTTATTATCATTTTCTAAAATTTGCAAAAATTATTTTTGTCTTTTGAAATTTACTGGTAAATTGGAATATGTGAAAATTTTTGAAATTTGGAATTTTAGAGAATTGTGAATTTGGAGAGTTGGGGATGTTAAGGGTGTAGGGATGAAGAGATTTAGGGATATTAAGAATATGAGGGTGTAAGAATTTAGGGTCGTAGGAATTAGGGGATGGAGGGATTTAAGCATAAAGGGATTTAGGGACGTAGGGATTTAGGGACGTAGAGATTTGGGGATGTAGGGATTTGGGGACGTAAGAATTTGGGGATGTAGGTAATTTGAGGAGGTTAAAATTTGGGGATGTAGGAATTTCAAGATGTCGAGATTTAGGGACATAGGTAATTTGAAGAAGTTAAAATTTGGGGATGTAGGAAATTAAGGACGTAGAGATTTAGGAGTTTGACAATGTAGAAATTTATTAATTTTGGAATTTGGAAATTTAGGATTGTGGGAAATCAAGAAATTGGTAATTTGCTATTTTACGGTTTTGGAAATTTGGGATTTTAGCATAGTGTTCTAGAAATACAGAGATTTCGACACTTAGGAGTTTGTGGAATTTAAACATTAAAAAATTTGTCAAATTAACAGCTCAAGAATTAAAAAATCTCAAAAGGTTACCAACTATAAAATTTGAATAATTACAAACTGCGACACCAAAGTCTTTGCAAATCAGTTCATAACCAAATTTCCAGCGAAATATCGTTGGAGTATCGTTCGACCTTCGATTGAACGAGGAACCAGTATCCACGAGAGGCCCTGGAGTACTTATCAAGTTGTGGAAGCTTGCTACTCTCGTTCTTTTTTCTCTCGCTCTTCTTCAACGAAATTACCTACTTCCACGGGACTATCGTGATCGAGCCCTCGGAGAAAACGGATTTTCACACTTTCCCATTATGCAAATTTCTTCAAAAAAAAAAAGAATAAGAAAAAAAAATGAAATAAGAAAGAAACCGCGTCTATGCAGAGACACCGGGACAAAGATGGAGAAGGTAGCCTGGAATACCGGGAGGGAAAGAAATATTCCGATAACGCCGCGGGCCTAGTGGAATTTTGCAAGGTGTTAAAGTTGACCCGTTCGTGGGGTCACGATCGAGCCTCTATCGTTTAAAATGCCGCTGCAGAGGCCACGAAATGCCGGATAAACCGCAACTTCGACGGAGGTTTTGTTTCCTTCGTTGCTCATTTGCCACGTTCGACCCTATTCAAGCTTCGTTTTAATGGAAACCCGACTCTGATATCAGACTTCGATGCTGACAGGAAACTCTGACCGCTGTCAATTCCGATATCGGTGTCTGAAGCTATTACCGATTCTTTTTTCTGCCTGACGGACCAGCCGATTAATGAGCTGGCAAAGAGGATTACCGGATGGACATTCCTTTTCATGGAAATTACTTTTTTTCTTATTATCGACGGGCTATGAAACTGTGGGACAATTGATGGCTTTTAATATTAAAATCTAATTTTTACTGCATTTTGTTTTAAATATAGACTTTTGTCGAAGTGATTTTAATTGTGACTGAAATGGAGGGTAGAATATATGTGAAAAACATATGTGTCTATAAGATTGTATACATATAAGTATACATATAATGTGTACATATAAGTACATATAATGTATACGTATAATATCTACAAATAAATATGTATTTGTATGAAATTATATACATATTTATTCAAGTATGTATGTATGTATATATACGTACGTACACATTTGAATAAATATGTATATTATACAAATACATGTGTATCTGTATAAAAATATGTGAGCACATATAAAAATACGTACATTGAATACTTCATTCATATAACACATTTTATTATTATCTCTAAATTCGTTTATATAATCTGTATCTCATAATATGCAGTTGCAAACTCCATTTCGCAGTGTATGTTCTACTCCAAAATGGCGGCACAAAAGTGGCGGCAAAATTCGAAACTATCAGTACATTTTCCACGATCAAAATAACAGAATATATAGTTTTATCGATAACAATTATTTGAATGAATTGTAAGTGACAAAATAGCAGGGATTTCGAATAGAATCGTACGTGAAATGGTTAGCTAAACAATTCATGTTCGTAACCGCAGTCAGCACATTTTTTCCAAAAGTGGATTTACGTCGTCATCAAAATAAACGACTCGTATGCAAACCTCGTTGGATCACAATTGACCGCGCCTCGTAAAATTTTATTAATAATATTAGTTCAATTATTCAAAAGGGTTTCCATAAAGTTTGTAACCAAATACTGCAGTCAGAGTTAACCTTGTTACGCTCGATGTTGCCTCATAATTTACAAAAATTAAAACGTGTTCTGTGGTTCTTATAAAATACGCAGTTATACAAAAATACAATTAGGTAAATTTTGTTTAGATATCTATCATTAATAACTAATAAACAGTATTTATACATAGTACTTTTATCTTGAATAGAGTTGCATTTTTTGCCAAAAAGTCCAACAATAAAAATAAGAGTATAAGTCCTTAAAAATCTACATTCTTCGAATCATGCTATGAAAATAAAAAATGTTCTGAAGCAGTTAAAGAGGTTATGGATTGAAATAAACGCAAGGGGATGAAACGAGAGACATTATCGATAGCTGTAGAAGGGTTTGGAAAATAAGAAAATAGGTTAGGCCATCTGACTGTCTCGTTGAAATTAAACCATGGTAACACGTAGCAACAGAGCTTACCGCTGTCTGGGGTCCAATTGTAATTCCTTTTCCTATCCGGGTCGTTCGATTTTTGTTCCGATTTCCCGATCTCGCTGAGGTTCGACTGGAATTTATTACCTGTAAGCAAAATATCCATCCGTCTATATGAAACTAGACCTTCTTCTAATGTTTCTGGTTTTTAAATCAACACCGTCCAATAGTTAAATATAAAGAGTTTGAAAGGAGAGAACGGTGTATGTTTGTTACCCGTTCGAGATCGTTGAAAATTGAGTTGAAACGATTGAAATACGAAACGTTGAACTGTTATCCATTGTTGAAATCGGATTACCGGTACGCGAGGTAGAAAATGTGACAAGTGGAAAAGCGTGCTGCGATTTGGACACATTTTACATTTCTTTTTTGAGTGTTGTTCGGATTTGCTTTGACACTAATGTATAGGAGGTTTAGATGGTATTTAAATTTGTAAACTTAGGGTTGGAATTTAGGGACTTGTGAAATTTGGGGGAATTGGGTTTTGGGGAATTTGGGAATTTTGGGGAATTGGGGGAATTTGGAGTAACTAGGATTTGGAGAATTTAAAGTTTGAGACATTTGAGATTTGGAGAATTAGGGATTTGGGGAGTTTGGAGAATTTGGGGATTTCGGGGATTTTGGAAATTTGCGAAATTTGGGGAATTTAGGTAATTTGTAGGAGTTCGGATCTAGGGAATTTGAGGGTTGAGAAAATTAGGATTTGTAGAATTTGGGATTTGAAAAATTTGGGATTTGGGAAATTAGGAATTTCTCAAATTTCAGATTTGGATTTCAAATTTAGTACTAGAGAATTTCTCGAAATTCTCAAAAATCCCCAAAAATGTAACTCCTCCTGACTACGAACAGATAACTAAAACTCCCTATAATCGATATGGTAGCTGTCGAACAATAATGTTGATTTAAATCTCCAAGTTTCCGGGCAAGAATGAACTTACGACGAAGGCAAACGCCACAAAGGGCAGCGAAACAATAGGTATGGTCAGAAGAGGTGGGAACTGTCGAGTTAAAGAATGAAAGGAAGTAGCCGGAGGTGCAAAGGAAACGAGGACAAAGGGTACATACGAGGAGTGGTCCTCCTCTGAAGATGTTTACGGGCCTGTTACGCGTAAAGTGGGTGGCAAACGCGGTAACTAGTATGCAAACTACGAGTAAACACAATTCCCTTATCCAGTGCATCGTGCAAGGACCCTTCCATGTTGCCACGTTTGTCACGGTCCAGCCTGCCGGACCAAATCATGTAATGAAACTATCTCCAGGTACGACGAACAGAGAGTATGCCCCCGGTACCGTAATACGACAACCTTTTTCCACGGTTTAATCCTGCTATCCGCGCATGTAACCTCGGCCAGGTGGACCAGGAATTTTGTAGTTACCACGTTGGATCCATTTGCATACATCACGACACCACGGGGGGAATCGAATTTCGCTCAGGAAGAGGCTCGTTCGGGATACCGTGACACAACGACGTCAACAGAATCCGTTCACGGATCTCTGCTTTTCTCGTTAAACATTTTTTGCTCTTCGACGCCTGCCAAACCTTCTTTCTTTGCAACTTGTCCTCAGAATCTCAACTTCTCCACTCTTTACATTTTGGTGCTTTTTTGTTGCTGGGATATTAAGAAAAACTTTTGTGATATTTTATTAGACTCGTGTCTCGAACTTGGATGTTTGATGTATACGTCGTTTGATAAATGTGGGAACTAGTCATTTTGTGTTGAAGTTATTAACGGTGCATTTATGTAGTCATTTTTATTAAGCTTTAAGCTATAAATTGATATACTGTATGTGTCATTTTGTGATACTTTTCTGTCATGAATTTTTGTTGGACTATTCAGGTTTTGTATCTGGATATTTGAGACAGTATAATGATATTTTCTACAACAGGCAATCAGCCATTTTGTTTTGAGAATATTAGGGGTGCACTGGTCCAGTCTTATTCACTACATTATGAACTTCAAATCTGTATATCATATATGACATTTCGCCATACTTTTCTGTCATGAAAATTCATTAGACATTTCATGTTTGAATCTGGATGTTTGATGTAATCTAAGAACATTGTTTGCCACTGGCATTCAGCAATCTTGTTTTAAGAATATTAAAGGTGCACTAATACAGAATTATTCCTGAAGCTATAAGCTTTAAATACATGTATCATATATGGCATTTTGTAATACTTTTCTGTCATGAATTTACGTTAGACTCTTAGGCTTCAAATCTTCATATGCAGCAACATTGATGCTGTAACTAACCAGCCTTCTTAAAAGTCCAAATATATCTTTTGCTTAAATTATTTATACGTTATAAAGTCTCTCATTTGTACGTCTTCAAATTCAAGAATCTCCAAGAAATCCAATAAATTCCTTAAGGATCAAATAAGACAAATTACATCGACCCACTCTGAGAGTACACCTCTGTCCGATACACTGTCAGCGCTAATGTTTGGTCGAAATTTGCATACGTCTGTCTGGTCGATCCATTTCTCCGTACACCGGTGTGTCTCACCTTGTTGTCCATGGACGTGTATACGATCGGTTAGTTAGTCCACCGTCTATATCGAAGCCGCTATTATACGCAGCAGCGAACAAGTGACTCGCGGCGGAGCGGTGTGTACCAGGATGATCGGCCATTACCTTGCTGAAATAGGCTATTGTGCCAAGACCGTGTTTCCTCGTCGGCATCCTCCTTTCCTGCTCTTATACCTTCGGCCCAGGGCCAACTTACGAAATCTAATCACCAGACAACCAAAACAAAGCAGCGTGTTCGAGTGAAGCTTGCGTCCTGCAGCTGAGAATTAAGTCCTGATTGCCGGTGCTGACAGCGTTTATCAATTTTGCTTCGAGAATCGTTTCGAACCTTGTCTTTCTGAGGGTCAGAGGAAATGTCAGAAGAATGTCTTGAGTCGGTTCATGGTTCGAAGTGTCTTTCACCAGTTAGTCTGATGTGAGTGAAAATTTGGATGTCCTCAAATCCTCAGATTCTTGAAGAGGGTTTTTATTTACTTTTATGTTAAGTTCTCAATTTTTCAAATTCTCAGGTCCTTCAATTTTTATGTTCAGTGTTAGAAACAAATAGTACTGTAAATATCAAGGAATCTGTACAATTCTTGATCTTTCTAAATATACACGTCCTACGTCCCATCCTAGTTCTTCTTCGCAAAAGTAAATGTATAGTTTGCTATAAAATTTTAATAGAAAGCAATCGTCTCGTATAGAGGAATTAAAACATTGGATGTTAAAAGAGAAGTTGTTCTAAAACAATAAATGCTAAATGCTAAAATGTAGCGCAGTTAAAGGGTTCAATTTACGTGGCGTTTTCTTGCAACGATTCTATGCAAATTTGATCGCTTTGTCCCTGTCAGAGCAGCTATTACGAAGACAGATTAATCTATCAGAAATTTTATAGCTGCCCCTTCGTGCACCCAGTTAAAACGGTTAAACGGAGTAATCTAATTTCTTAATTGTATCGATTCCTTTTACCTGAGATTAAAATACAAACGGCGAGATCTACTTTGTTAACGAAATTTGAGAACAACAACGCGCCGATTAATCATTCCGAGATTAAACTGCGACAATTTTTCGGAATGGGGTTACAGCCCGTTGTAAACTCTCGGAACGACATTATTTCCAGCGAGTTTGAAAATGTATGACGAGAAAGCTGCACATTTAGCAGGATCATTAGCGGACAGCTTTACACTTTCATTTCCATTCATTTCGACTTGCAAAGCAGCTCGTTCGTCAGTGGTAACGCGTCAAATTTGAAATGCAACGAATTTCCAAGATTGCAAATTAGAACGCGGCCGCCTGCTAATATTTATGATGCGCGTTTGCGTGTGTCGAGGGTGCGTTAAGTGTAACGTAAACATATCGTTTAGGGTTGAATACGACCGCCCCTGCGTTCAGAATATCGACCGTGAATTCGATATGAAAGAGAGATGCTCAACGTTTAGATTCCAAAGTTTGGTGAAATGTTTTCGCACATTTTATGACGAAATTTATTATCAAAATTTTTGGAGTTTTCTGATATTTCTCGGATTGACTTTTTACGGTTCCATTATGAATTTGCTTGATTTTATACATACGATCAAACTTCCCTACAAATCATCCTCAAACCATTTGACATTTTTCATGAATCATTTCGTTGAAAGAAACGAAAACTAACACTAAGAATTTATCTAAACTAAGAATTTTTATGTACCTTTTTAAAACAGGTTCTGAAACTATACAGAATTCTTTGACTATAAAAAATTCTGTAACTATGAAAGATTCTGTAATTATGAAAAATTGTAAAATTCTTAAAACATGAAAAGTTCCTAAATCGTATAGAATATCATAAATTTAAATAAATAGTGTGTTGTTATTTTAGCACTTATGTCACATGGTCAAAATACAAAATGATGGTTATGTTAATGCGAAATGTAGCAGGTAAACGTATTCTTCCCGAACGAAATATCGGTTCGTTGATAAACGCAAACGTTGCGAATGCCCGCAGGAATGGTACTGTGCGCGTATTTCGGACACGTGATTTTGCAACGTTCACCATGATCGACTCCGTGGCAGAATTGACCCAGTTCAATCCGTCCTCCCAGGCCCCATTTAGCGAATATTAAGCCAGCCAGCACGCGCATACGTGCACAATAGTATGTAGAACATGTTGACAGTGCGTGTACGCGCGGTTAAGTCAATCTAGATATCAACCATTCTCGAAATCCAGGCAATCGAAGATAACGGACAGCGGCGATGGAATTAGGTTGTCAACGGGAGTACGAAATTCTCCGTCAAATTTTCAATCTCCGTCAAGATTCTTGTCTCATTATAATTTCACTTTCTAGTGCCGATGTTACGTTATTTTCATTTATGCGTTAAGACTTTTTAAATTTTTGTAAATTTTTAATAATATTTTCGAATGAATAATATTTTATAATAGTGTTATTGAATTGTCTCGCGTTATATCGCCATTTGTCAAGTTTCAACGCACCGTATTATTATGTGTCGAATTGTCTCGCGTTATATCGCCACATCTCAAGTTTCAACGCACCGTATTAGTACGCGTCGAGTTACCTCGCGTTATATCACCACATCTGA